CACAACGTGATAAATAATAATTAATTAAAGGTAAATTTCAATCCATGAAAAATGGACGTTTCACGAAACGCCCAGGCCGATCATGATAGGACCACGATATTCTATATAAACCGAATCGTAAAGCGAGTTGAGTGTTAAAGCGTACACACTTGTAGCAATTTAATGCGCCTCTAACAATTCTTGTAGTTCACTCCTCTGCACGCAACCGCTACTTAGATAAGATATAGATTCGTAAATGTTTTAACTAAACGCTAGGAATTCATAATAATATTTAAATATATTTAAGAATATATCCTTTAAAATCAAAGTTTAAAAAAACATATACTTATTTGAGATAGCAAAGTTGGTTACGTGATGAGTTTCATTTTCACACACACTTTCCTTATAATTTAGATAATAAACTTTAAGATAAAGATAAACATAAGCTTTCTGTTTTAGTCTTTCGTAAGCGTAATCATTTAATGCCCACACACAAAATTTCATGGAAATCCGTCCAGTACTTTTAGTCTACATTTTAAATTTTTTTTTATATCAATTCGATTCGTAGTCACCAAAGTGCAGATAACATTCTTATTTTCCAAGATAAGATTATAATTTATTTTTTATTCATTAAGTAGTCATTAACTAACAATTTAAGCTAGATTAATTAGTACCTATTTCAATATTAATGCCAATCTCAAATATTAGGTATATTGCCTCTCAGATACATAAATGCCTTTCACGCGTGTAAATGTCAATGCAAACGTGAAAGTGGCGCACGCATGGTGTCACTTCTTCCCCGCGGACGCAAAACCATCGCATCAATGGTCCGGACCCGCTAGTGTCGCGGAGAATAGGAGCTGTGGCGCATCGCCATACCCACACTCCTCTTCCCCCACGAGTCCACCTCGGCTGCGGAGGTGGACTCGTGGGGGAAGAAGCCGCAGTCCATTAACACATATGAAGCGGGCTAGCCAAGCCCGCTCGGAGTGGCCACCTTAGGCTAGCCCTTCACTTTGTACGACCAAGCAGCGCCTACTAAACTACAAATACAAGGCGGCAACGATAAGTATACACTTTACCTTTGGCCAGGAGCCAGTCTTTCAGTGCTCTGCAGGATACATTGCAAAGAGTGTGTGCAGAACTGACATAGAACTATGTTAAGAAATAATTATTTTAAAATCTTTATACCAAACATTTCATAACTTAACAGCAGTAGGTACATATTATTACAAACCGAAAACCTTTTTAAACGTTTTTGATCGTCGTGTGTGAATTAAAATGACGGGGTATTCTATACTTTTCTGCATACTCGAATCTGCGCTCTTTATTTGGCTGTCAAGCCGAAAAACATTGCATCCAGGGTTATCAAGTAGTCACAGGAACTTTTCCTACCTCTGCAATAAATGTAGCTTCATATCTACCTAGCTTGGTTGCACATTGTGGTTGCTGCAACCGGTATCTTAGTGCTGACTTAGCTATTCCTAAAGACAGAGAAACTTTTTTCTTGCACTCTCCTTTTCAATGCGTATACGAGCATATTAGATGGTGGAAGGCGCGTAAATTTTACGATCACTTTTGCGTGGTCTTCCTGACAATCTACAACAAAGCGAAGGGCTGTTAAAAGCTAATGAAAATAAACAATATTTATTTAAGTGTTCATCTAAATTTTAAATCATATATATAAATATATCTACATAGTGGCGTGTAACGGTGGACATATACGCTACGAGAAATCGTTACGATCAGACTGTACAGTTCGAACGGTACAGTTTATCGTACATGGCATACAAGCCACATACACTACGAGAAATCGTTACGATCAGACGGTACAATAAACAGTGCCGACGCACACATGTCAGCGATGGCTTCGACGGACGACGTTTTAGCAGTTGTTGGATTAATATTCGCCCTGAAAGAAAAAAAAGTAAAGCGCAAAAAGCGTAGCATCTGGTGCAAAGAATGGCTAATGAAGAGAAGTGTTCATTCTCATGTAAATTTGTTGGCGGAATTAAAGATGTTTCCAAAAGACTGGCACAATTTTTTAAGAATGGATCATGATACGTACTTACATCTACTTAACATGGTAGCACCAATTATAGAGAAGCAAGACACTATTATGAGAAATGCTATTCCACCCCATGACAGGTTTGTAGCTACTTTGAGGTTTTTATCAACAGGAAGAAATTATGAAACTTTGAAATTCTCTAGTATTATTTCATCTCAATCCTTGGGTCGCATAATACCGGAAGCCTGTGAATCAATTTATAAGGTTCTCCGCAAAGAATATTTTAAGGTAAGGAATAAAAAACTACTAATTACTTAAAATATAATTTTTATTAATTTGTATTTATCATAATAATGATGGTTTATTAATTCGTATTAATATCAAAAGTTGAATCAATCACTTGGTGTGAAATAGTCGAATTTTCCATTTCTGCGAGAAATAATGTTTCGTTAATTATTTTTTCGGCCTAAATACGTTGATGTTTCGTGAGGTCCCTCAGCTTAGCTGCAACGTTTGACCCAAAAATATCAAATCGATCATTACTAATTGCGGGCCTTTTGAAATGGTTTTGAACAGACTGTAAAACGTCAGTAGTTAGGTTTTCATTTGCATTCCTTTTTGGCCATCTTCTATTAAACGATGTGCTTGCAATCGCACGAGTCTCTGGAACTGACTGTGTAGGTGACTGTGAAGTTGACTGGGCGGCCGGAGATGACTGTGCATCACTTTCAATTTCCTGAAACAATTTTTTTTACAGTTCCCACGCTCGGAAGAAGAACGGAAGGTTGTGGCAAAAGTGTTTGAAAAGAGATGGAATATCCCGCATAGTTTAGGCACAATGGATGGTAAACACATAGCAATTTTTCTTCCAGCTGGATGTGGCTCGGAGTATTTCAACTATAAAAACCATCATAGCATGGTATTATTAGCAATTGTTGATGGAAATTATCGATTTCTTTTATGTGATTTTGGAACAAATGGAAGAATTTCTGATAGTGGAGTACTCAACAACACTAAGTTTTTTGAAAAACTTGATAACAATTAGTTTTGTATTCCAACTGACACGGTTGTCGCAAATAGCACTAGAAAGTTGCCTTATGTTTTGCGGCTGATGATGCGTTCCCACTTAGAACAGATTTAATTAAACCTTTTAGGCAAGCAGACTTGACCACAAATAAAAGCAGAATTCTAAATTACCGTGTATCAAGAGCAAGGCGCATTGTCGAAAATGCATTTGGAATCTTGGCATCTCGATTTAGAATTTTTCACACAAAAATTAGTATTGATCCGAAGAGAATAGAGTCTGTCGTGATGACCAGTTGTGCTTTACATAATTATTTAATGAAGAAATCAGAAAGTTCTTATTGTCAACAAGAATGCTTCGACGTAGAAAATGTTGATGAAGGGTCAATAACCCAAGGATATGATACAACGGATTCAGCAATAGTTAATTTACAAAGAACAAATCTTGGTAATACCTCAGTTGCAGCAAAAAAAAGTCAGAGAAGAGTACATGGAATACTTTGCAAGTGAAGGAAGCGTTCCGTGGCAAAATAATTTTATACGTTAACTAATCTATACTTAAACTGTAAACTTTGAGAGTAAAACATTTAATAAAAAAGTTATTTAATTTCATTAAATACCTACACGTTAACTCACTAAGTATTAATATTATATTAAGACCTTATTACTATGCTTATAGGGTCTATCAACGAGGAGGCAGGGAGTGAGGGAGCGGCCATGAACTCCAAGCGAACGCATAGTACTCTACTGACACCACAGGACCAAAAACCATAGACAAAATAAAAAATATTAAGGAAAGCCGACCTTATTGGAACAATCTGTATAATCACACCCAAATAACTTACCTCGTTGTCTGTTGATTCGTCATCCATATTAGAGCGTGAATGTCTTGGTTCTTCTTGGTTATCCAAAAACAGCAACATAGAATAATACCATAGTTTTGGTTTATACACTTCTTGGGTTCCTGCTCCCGATTTCTTCGAATCAACGATCTTCTTACGCTCTTTTTTGTAAGTAGACCGAATGTTGTTTATTTTTTTTTACGACAGCATCTTTGTCAGCACTAGAGTCAACTATTTTCAATTTTTTAATTAGTTTATTGTACGCTAAACGCTTTAAATCGCGATTGTGATACTATTTGCCTTTAGTATTCCAAAGACAAGGTTCACTGCGATATAGCTCAATAAATTGTTCTAGCCATTCGCAATTAGTTTGAGACGCCATCTCCATGATGCGTGCGCACATCCACCCGAACTGCGAGTGCCAACAAAACTGAACACAAAAACTGACGAGCGCATACACCACAGGCATACACGTTACGATCAGTCGGCACAGTTCGTCCGATTCCAATTGATCAGTTGAAATTCATACTGTTCCGTTCGACTGCACAGTCTTAAAAAATCGGACGAAACTGTACAGTTTTATAACATACATGTAGCGATTTATCGGTACCTGATATTAATCGGATTATATGTCCACTATAAGTTTGCGCGCGCAATATTATCCACCCTAAGAAGGCAAATCGTTCCTACATTGTAAAAGGACCATGTATAGCCATGGACTATTACAGTCTTATAAAGAATAAGAAGAAGAAAAAATATTTTATCGTTAAATTTATACATTTTTTTTGTTGAGATAGTCTTATCAAGAACTGAACTGTATGGTTTTCTTTCAATGCAACCTTGTAATAATGTCGCATGTTTTATTTCTCACAAATGTGTATATTTAATAAAGTGTATTTCTTCAATTCACAAAAAGTTGTATAGTTTAGAATGGAGAACAATTTGCAAAGTTGTTCTTAGTACCTAGGAAGAGACCGATACGATGTAGAATAAAATCTATTTAAGCTTTTATAGGCGTTGGCAGTGCCGAAATCTTGATCCATCATCATAACAGCTCAGATGATAACATGATTCCGCATTTTCATTTAATATTAATATGTATTAAAAATCAATAAAAGAAATTAAAACAGTTTATTAACAGCCAAATTTTATTGAGCGAGGATCCATGATACATATGATGTAACTCGAGCGAAAGCAGCAGGATAACCAACGGTGCAGCCATCTCTGTGACCGAATGATGTAACGCCCACCTATAGAATAAACAATTATTATTAAATTATTTTAATAATTATGATATTAAAATTCCTGTAATTTCTGTGTCACATGCACCTCCAAAACAAAAATTGTAGTCATAGTAGAAATTGTTGTAGAAGGATTAGGTATTATAAAATAAACTTGAACTATATTGTAGACATATTATTTTTTAAACTTACCAAAATTCTTCTGTCGTTACTTGTGACAGCTAGAGGACCTCCGGAATCACCCTGGCATGTTGATTGACCACCGGCACCGCTAGTGCAAATATTAGTATTATGATACCATGAACCGTATATACTTGTGCACTGAGAGTCAGCTATGATGGGTAGATTGACGGAGCTCAAACGTTGATTGGAACCAATATTGCCACCTACAAAAAAAATATTAACTAAACATTTAAATAGTAACTAAAACATTCCGTTAAAAATTCTACGTTCCTCTTTTCAATCATTAAATCGTCTCCTAGTTCTTTTTAAGCTTTTTAACCTACTCTTTAATTAAAGGCCCTTTTAAGAATGTGTGCCTACTATCAATGATTTCAAAAGGAAGGATAGGTCCATCTAAACATTTTTCTCATAATTTTTTCATACAAGAAAAAGTAGCGCATCTGTCATAATACAAACGTCATATCAAAACACGACGTAACCAGGGTCGTATTTAGTAGTATAATTCTCCTAATTGTACCATTATTTCATAGTTTGTAGTATATAGTATCGTAATAATACTAAGCGAAAATACCATAATTTTACCTAAAGGTCGACTTGTATTATTATTGGGTCCTTTTACTTTTTAATATTAACCCTACGATATCGAGAATTTCTGTATTATACATGAGTATCGCGTTTTTTAATAAAATTAGAATTAGCTCCCTTTCTGGTCAATCAGTGCTCTATCGATGCATTTATGTTGCATTCTTTATAGAACTATAATGACTACCACGATAGAAACGATAAAACGATAAAAACATTTCAAAATATTTTCAGATTCAATTAAGCAGATATGATTCCTTTTGTACTCATTTCGATTTACCCTTATTGAATATAAAATACGTTAGGTACCAATATTCAAAATTTAACTTACACTAAGTTTTTTAGACAAAAATAGAACATAAATAAAAATAAAACCGTCAAAAAACGAAACGTATAGATAAACTAGACGCGTGACGCCAAAATCCCAGCACATGGGAAAAAAGAAATATGAAACGTCAAACGTGATATAATTTTTTTAAATAGTATAATTTTATTTTCCATGTACAATATTTTTGAGGGTCTGAATCCAACCCTGGCCTAATCTTGGTAACGTAACTAAATTAACTATAAAATAAAACTGTAAAAATGCGTTTATATAATAATTTAATTGTAACAAAATGAATATTAGGTTATTTACCGATGGTACGATATCCCATGTTCCTTTTAAATCTTTGTAGCGTAATTTTTGCATTCTTTTACCACGCAACTAGACATATTTATGACAGGCAAATCTGTCCTGCGCGCGCACCACTGTCAACCGATTCGCGTTGGCCCTAACCTGTAATTTTAGGGCCAGCGCACTGCTCCGTTTTAGTTGTTCGGTCGGCCCGGTCTCAGAAGAAAGAAACCTGTGGCCCGGTCCTTGCTAGATAACTGGTGTCAAGAAAACCAATTAGTCAAACCAAAGAGTATAGTAGGTATGGCTAACGACAATTAATGAAGGAAAATATAACTTAGAGTTATTACTATACTCTTATTCAAAAATAAAAATTATCAACAATTAAAATATCGAATTATTTGAATTAATTCACGTAGCGCTAGAGAAATGACGATTGTAACTTATAAATAAAATGATGATATACAAAAATAGAATTTAACTTTACACTAAATTTTAGGTTTTCGTTTAAAGTCCATTATTACCTTTGAAGTCTAGTATTACCTTGCCCTTTATCTTCCTCCGGAACACAGATAATTTTATAAATCTCGGCGTTATTTGCTTGTCTATTTTTCAGGATCCTAACGTCTGTCCTCAGGATGTGTACATTAAAAGTCCACTTCAAGTCGTTGAAGGAAGCAACGATATAAAAAAGGATATAAAAAAGGTTTTATATCGCTGCTCACTGAAGAATAGTTGTCACGCTTGACGGACGGATTGACAATTTTAGTTTTTATAATTGAGTTTTAGTTATCATAAAAGTTAAAGCTTAGGCTAATCTTTTCTATGAGGTAAGTTATTAGGGAGACTTAAATTTAGTAATGGACTTTTGATAGGATGAATAGAACATAAATAACATAGGAACGAAAAACGGATAAAACAGCTTTGTTTTCTAGTGTTAGTTCCACCAAAACTTATTGTCTTATTAGCTTTTTGAACGAACTATGTTATCAGACCAAAACATGGAAATAATAAAAGATAATGCTCGGAAATTCAGTATAGTGGCAGCGTGAGAGAATCTGCTGTCTCATATTATTGTTGTAAAGTCGTAATAGACGACTGGAGGAAATGAAACAGATGGTCAACATCTTTCTAAATATAACTAAAAATAGTAAAAACCTGCGGTTACCAACATATCTGCTGTTATGGCAACAACGAATATGGCAAATATTCCCTCTATGAGGCAGTTTATGGAGGAGGCCTTTGTTCAGTACACACATTTGATAAGCTAAAATAAATGATGAATGAAAAATTATAATACTAGACAATAACATACCATTTCTAACAGCCTATAAACCTATAAATATTGGCTTTTTTTCTTGTTTATATTTGATGGGAAGGAATCTATTAATGGCAAATTAAACATTTGGTCAAGTATTAAAAATTTTGGCTTACTGTCAGAAGTGCGGCCAAATCCAGAAGCAAGTGCAGTGCTTCCAACGAAATTGTTAGAGATCTCATTGCCACTGGGAAGTGCAATTGGTTGAATCACATCTGAAATCCAACAAGAATAGTAGAACTTAGAAATAGAGATAGTAGTATGAAGAAAATATAAACAATATTAGTTAAAGACAGCTAGAAAGATTTTCGTAATAAAACAATTAAGTGATTTTAAGAGCAAAACCCACATTATAAATATTTGAAAAAACCTCTTACTTTTACTTGAACTTTTATTAAATTGTCGTTTGTATGATGATAATATAATGAGCTAAGATAAATTTTGAAATAGTTATGTTTTCCAACAATTTTCAAAATGCTTAAAATCCAAATTAACTTTACTATTGTTAAGTCCAGTCCAAAAAAAGCTTACTTGTGTAGGAGACTGAATTGATGCGGAGTACAGCAATGTCATTGGCAGCAGTTGAAGGATTCCAGTTGGGGTGGACGGCAATATTAGTGGTTGTTTGACGCACTCCGCCACTAAAAATTAAGTTAGAGCCGAGAACTACAGTAAATGACTGAGCGGTGAAACTTCCGTCAGTGTAGCAGTGAGCTGCGGTCACTACACGGTCTGTTGAAATCAAAGACCCTCCACAAACTGACGTTAGCACCCATAAAATGGTTATTACCAGGCCAGCCTGAAATATACAACTCATTCATAAAATTTAAAAATTAAAATTTAATGATCTTACAGTTTTTGGGAAAAATTACCTGGTAGGGAACCTCTGAAATATCAGTAATGCTACCACCAACGATTCTGCTCTGTAAATTCCCAGATTTAATCGTTTCTTCCTCTAATTTCTTGATTCTGGCTGCTTCTGGGATACCAATTCTCCTATGATAATCATAGGCAGTTATATCCTCTATTGTAGCAATTTCAGCATAAGTAGCCGCGATGGCTAGAGTAAAAACCACTGTAGCTATGAGCCCCCTCATTTTTTCACTAATTGCTGCTACAAAAATTTTTCCCTAGCCTTTATTTATATAAGTAATTATGGTCTGTTATCAGTTTTAATGTAATTAGTAATCTTCAGATAAAATAAATCAATATAAGCTGCCTGAATTAATCAATGTACATATTTCTATCTGTACTTTGATAAGATTATGTCACATAAAGGAAACGATTAATCTAAAGTACTAATTGTTTTAGCCTAAAACCTTTACTAATCGCTTTTCCAAATAAAATAAAATATTTTTCTTATATAATCTATAGATAAATTAAACATGCTAGGGATTGTTTTTTTAGAAATTATTTATACTCTTTATTGCACACAACATAATAACTCACTTATTGCAAAACAGTCGTAACACGAAATTCGTAATTTTAGAGAAGAGCAATTTTAAACTTTAAATTTATTTATTTTAAATAAAACGGTAGTAGTTAATTAATTTTATAAGATTGATTGTGTTGATTAATAAACTTTAAAACCAAGTAATAAATTTAGGTTTTAAATGTACTGTGTTTACATGGTAAATAAAACAAAACCATGCGGTACTCACTTGTGTCATTATTGCAGAAATAACTTGCTTAGTTACAGTAAATTTATTATATGATATACAGAAAAAAACATATTACTTAAATTAAATTAGGACCATATTTTTACAAAAACAACGAAGTAATAGAACGAAATAAAACAGATTCTTGGGATCTTAAATATTGTATACATCTTAGTTACGAGTATAGTAATATAAATATTTCAGTATTGAGTTGTCAAAAATTAACTTCTGCAACATAAATTTGCTTTGTCTTCTCTCTCCTTAATCATTCTTTCTACATGATTAAACTACCGAAGCACACCTTTCTTAATCCTGGTCACAACATCCTTTTGTAAACCACACACTTCTCTTATTACATAATTCCTTCCTCGTCACACAGATTCAGCCCTAAAATACCCTTTATGACCGCATTTCTACTGCGTTTATTCTACTCTCGTGCTTCTTCTGCCATACCCAATTTTCACTACGATATGTTAAAGTAGGGACTAACACAGCATTGTGAATTGTCATACGTGCCTTTTTTGACACATTCTGACTTTTCACAATAGAGTGTAGAGCCCCATTTACTCTATTTCTGCGTTTACTCGTCGTTCTATATCATTATCATATCTCTCATCCTAACTTTTGTCTTACTTGCGTTAACTTTCATTCCTCTTTCTTTTAACGAACAGTTCATTAATGTAACCATCATTTGCAACTTGGCCGCCAACGATGCAATATAACTTGATCATCGGCGTACAAAAGGCATTTGACAGTTACCTCACTCATTCTTAACCCGCATTCTTCAACGTTCAAATTTTCCAAACAACTGTCCACAAATAGGTTGAACGGCCACGGGGAAGCCATACAGCCTTGTCTGACACCTTTGTGGATGCCAAACCAGTCCAAGTAGACCCGTTGATCCTAACACAAGCACTGGAAACTTCTCCGCGATTATGCACATGGAAATTACTTGATCAGTACACCCCATTCCCTTTCTAAATCCTGCTTGTACATCCCAAATTTTTCCATCACTTTCTTTCATAACTTTTTCAATTAGTAACTTAGCATAGAGTTTTCCCGCAATGCTAAGAAGGCTGATATCACGGTAGTTTTCACAGTTATGCGACCCTTTTCCTTTATATATTGAGACTATCACGGCTTTACACCAGTCTTCCGTTACCCGCTTTAGTGCCCAGCATAAATTAAACAAGGTGTCCAGCAAGCCTGCTACCACTTCCTCTTCAGCTCTTAGCATTTCGAATGAAACTCTATCATATCCGGCTGCCTTACCTAATTTCACGCTTCTCATTGTTTTCATTATTTCATCTATATTTATCTCTCTATATTCTCTTTCCTTTTCTTTCGGATCTTCCATTTTATTTATATCACACTCATAAACACGCTTTCAAAATAAGAAGTTTTGAATTTAAAAAGATGGAATTCCTTCCATCATTCAGAATACAGCCATCTCGTCTCTTATAGTATTCAATCTAGGCTGTTTTGAATTTCCCCTAGCAGTTCTTATGAGTTTCCAGAACATTTTATATTTGCTTGGAAGTTGTCCAATATTCTTATATCATTCTTATCAGTCCTTTCTTGCTTTTTCCTTTCAACTACTACTTTTTTTACTCGTATTCTCTTATTTAGACGTCTAAAGACTACGTTTTTTTCTTTCAACACCATCATTCGTACCGACAGAATTACCAACTTTGGTTGCTATTAAATCTAGCCATGCTCTCTTCTTTGATTCAACTTCCATACGTACCTAGGTAAAAAAAAATATAAGAGTATAAAATTGACACTTTTCAGTTGCAAACATTGACATGTAGGTAATCTGTAGAAGTAGAAGATAATATAATCAAAGACTAAATATTGTAATAATTATCAAAACAATAATCTTGACAAAATAAGCAGGTCCACAGCCAATTTAATCAACAATCGTTGTTTAAGTTATTATTAAATAAAGAGACTTATCCTTTTATTGATAGTACTTTTACTGCAGTATTTTCATCAGGTAAGTCTTTAACTAATTAGTTTTCTTTGTTTCATAAAATTAGTCTTACACAGGTACGCAGTCGTATAATTCTATGTTCACTGATAAGTAACGAACTATTGCCATTCAATAGTTTAATTTTTTTTTAAACTAACTGCATTTGATGACAAAACAATCACGTTTTAATCGTGGCTCTGTGATAACATTCATTGATGATAACAACTTTCTCAAACCCTTGATCTTTGTAAGATTTTTCACAAAATACTGAATTAGGCAAATATTTACCCACTTCGAATACGTTTGCTTCATTAATTTTCATAGCATCGAGGCTCACACATCCTAAACATGAAAATAGTTTTTATGTCATAGAAATTTTCGTGACTTAACTAATGGATTTTGAAAAGCGGTCCATTTCTTTAAACCGTGTTTATATCAGTTATAAAACGTATGGGTGTATGAGTGTAATTACAGAAATCTAAATAATAAGGCAATAGAAGTCGTAAAACCGCGTGACCTTGTCGCCGCACATGTGACTCGTAGGCCACAAGCGTGCGAAGAGCGTTTGTTTCGTCACCAGTTTCTTTTCGGACGCAGAGACGTAAAAATAATGTTTTGAAGCATATCCAACTGCGAAATTTCTTCCACAACTCGCAAATTTTCTAATAAAGGGATAACATTTCATAAATAAGTACTTTGTGTTTTACTTAAATAAAATTATACACCTCCAGTACTACGATTGTCTCCGAAAATTTAATTGTTTTCACATTTCGAAATCCACTGATTCTTAAGCTCGTTCATGTCTACGAGTACGAAGGCTAAAAGCAGCGATGGATTTATAGTATGGGGAATAAACAAAATTGTTGCGCACGTAAATTTCCTAGAGCACGGCCGCAGAAGTCGAATGCGAGTCAGTTACGTGATACTACTTTTTATATCGACAATTTATTACCTTTCGCTTACCTAGTTTTACCGAAATATGAATGAAATTTGATTTCTGTTAAATATTTATTTAAACCTTCTCTTTTTTTTCTTTCTAAATATTTTATACCGTTAGCCGTTTATCAGCGATTATCTGTTTGTTCGTAGTTTTAAATTACTTGATAAACTTTGATGCAATTTTAATATATTGTAAGGATAAGTAATTATATTGTAAGGGTGGTAGACTAAATTCGATCTGTAAGAAGCCGGGTAACTGAAAAATAACAAACAGCAGAAAGTCAGTGACAAATCTTTAAAACTAATAAAAAATCATAAATATATCACCCATACATATATAATTTGTTTATTTGCTGTTTGTATAATGTTATATTCATTTTATTTATACATCTTTTTATTAAATAAAATGCTATTATTCCTGGTTTCCAAAAGATCCGGATATTAAAATAAATGGATATACTTATCCTTAACGTTTTATTTTCTCTAATTATAAAGCGTCTATAAGCTAAAGCTAAGACTAAAAGCGTCTATTACTGAGATATTTTCAGTTAATTAGTTATATCTTGGTGTGAGACTCCTGGACGATCAACGAATGCTTAATAGAAAGTCAAAGGCCACAGTCTCTAACGACTTTTGGGAAACCGAAGGTGCTAAATTATACTTTAGGTCTTTATGTAAAACGAACAACTCATCCGTTAGAAAAAGGACATCGGAAATATTTTAACTCGGGGATAAAACTACGTATGTCGTTATTACGTTTACGGGGTACAGAGTCAATTCATTGTAACTTACAGGACTGAATTCGGTATTTCTCGTAAACAGCTATTGAAGCAAGTTTTGCAACTTTCCCATCCAAAATATCAAGTTCAATATTATCTAATTTATATGAAAGTTCGGAATAAACTACTTTTAGGTGGGTTTTTAAATAATCATTATTGGGAAAACCAACGACGACACTCCTCATTAAGCCACATGTTCTGAACCTTGAAAATGGCAAAATTGGTCGCTCGACTATTTGTGCCAGAACGTATTTGGATATAATTTGGAATGACATGAAGTTGTTTGCACTACTGATTGAACCAAACACTTTGAGCTGCAATACGATGTATACTAATACGATGTAGGGCACTTAGCGGTCAGCCACTGCAGAGTCTACATCACCTGAGGATGTCTCGTGTAGAGACGAAACACATGTCGTATTATCATCCATGGTGTGTCTTTCCTGGTGTCCTGGAAGTTTAATGCACGCAATTGAGGAAGGGCGGGAGGTGTTTTTCAAACTAGGTAAGACAGATAATTTATTATTTTATTGAGCGGATATGGGCGAGGCAATTTCTATCAACTTTAATATAGTAGATTTCCACAAAGTAACGCCTGATTCTATTATTTATTTTTTTAGCTGTAACAGGTATCATAGCCGCTAGCACATTAATTTGAACCGTAGCTGAATGCATATTCCCCTCTTTTTCACTGGAACTACTTCTTCTTTTTGTATTTGGTATGTAATCTCGATCTTTATCCGAATCGT